CTCGGGACCACCGACAGCTAAACGACGGGGTTCCAGAGAGCCCTGTCCCCAGCCGTCGGCCCTCGGAGACCCCCCTGGGCAGCCGCGGCCGGATACGGCTCACCCCGACTTCCTTCGACTGACTTGCTTTCCCTTCCTTTTCGCAGGGAGGACCTCACCGGCGGGCGCTGCGGTGTGCTGGCCTGAGGGTGGACTCCCGGAACTGAGGTGAGGACCTGAATGTGGACTGGAGGGACCCTCCCCGTCCGTCCCGTAGCAAAGGTGGCCCCACAAAGTACCGTCCCGCGATCGGCAGTGTGACGCCCTGGCCGGAGCCATAAGGGCGAGGAGTCCCCTCCATGTTGCCACGTGGAGGGCCTCGGGAAGGGGAGGCCTTTGTCTCAAGAGGGCAGCCGCTGGAGCGAGCCCTGATGGCCTGGTGGGTCCAGGTCGGCGCTGCGCTGCGGCTCAGGCGCGATGCCACACCGCTCGTCCCTCAGCAGCTGTGCTGTGGCGGCTGCTCGCATGGAACTGAAGGGCTCGCAACTGGACACGGCTAGGGACTGGGGCTCTGCTGGGGAGACAGAAGGGCGAAGATTGGCGACAGAGGTTGGCGAACGCCGAGTCTTCCCCTCCAGAAAGAAAAAAAAACAGAGGGCAGCCTCTGTAGGCAAACGGAGGAGTCCGGCCCTCGCAGGTGATGAGATGGGATCCTCAGAGCTAATGAGGGTCCCTCCTTCCAACAGAGGTGACGTCACAGAGCCCCGCTCCTGCCGTCAGTCCTGGAATGCCCTGGAGGAACGCAGGCTAAGATAATCCCTCATTTTGGCCTGGGGTGGGGGTCTCAGCTAGAGAAAGGCCTTTATCTGAAGGGGGAAGCCCCATTAGGCAGAGGAAGGAGTTTGGGCCCTAAACGGAGTAAAGGTAGGACTGTCAGAGCTAGTCAGCAGACCTCCCCTCAAGATAGGGAGCTGCAGGGCCAGCCTGGTGGCTACCGGTTAAGTTGGCCCGCTCCACCCCGGCGGCCCCGGGTTCACCGCCTGGATCCCAGGCGCAGACCTACACCACTCACCAAGCCATGCTGTGAGCCCCATACGAGATAGAGGATGATTGGCACAGATGTTAGCTCAGGGGCAATCTTCCTCCCCGAAAATAAAAAAATAGGGAGCTGCACAGAACAGTACCTCTGCTCTCAGATCTGGGAGTTCCTTGTGCCCAGACAAGGTAGCCAGATGTGGAGCAGCCTGCCTTCTCTTCTAGCTGATGAGGGAGGGGAGGGCTTTGGTCTGAAGCTTATAGACTCTGGTCAGTCGTCGGAGGAATCCCAAATCCTATCCGGAGTCAAGGTCAAACTCCTGAATGAGGATTGAGGGAAAAAAAAAGTGAACCCAATAGAGCCCTGGCCCTACTAGCAGACCTGGGAGACTCAGGCATGGTGACATGATGAGTCTTACTTCTTCCCAGAGCATCACAGGGAGGTGAGGACCCTCGTTGATGGGGATAGCCTCAGTCAGCAGACAGAGGATTTCCAGGTATTGCCAGGAGCCAAGGAGAGGACCCTTAGAACTGAGGGGACCACCTACCCCACAACAGTGAGGGCAACAATAATCCCTTGTTGATTGTAAGCCTTGGAAGTCCACACACAGTTGTGGCTAGATGAGGAAAATCTCACTTCTTCCTAGTGCGTCTCGGGTAGTTGGGGGCCCTAGTATGGGAGGACAAGCCTCAAGTCAAGAGACAGGATTTCCAGGTCCTGCCAGAAGTCGAGGTGAGGACACTGAGGGATGACTGAGATGAGCACCCACCCAAAGCAGTGGGGGCCTACAAAGTCCCAGCGCCCTCCACCCTGGGGAACCCCAAGTAGAGGTGGCCGGATGTGTTACCCCTCACTTCCAGCCCAGGGGACTCAGGGAGATGTGGGCCTTGATCTGAAGCTGGAAGACTCAGGTGGGCTGAGGGAGGAGCCTAGATCCTGTCTGAGAGAGAACTCAAGAGGCCAATGACGCCAGAACAGTGGGGTCCCCGAGAGTCCAGACCCTGCCACCAATCTGGGGAGCCCATGGACAGGGATGACCGGAAGTGGCATCACCCTTCTTTCATCTTGGGGTTTTCGGGAAGGTAAGAATCTTAATGTGATGCGAGGGAGCTCGGGTCAGCAGAGGGAGGATTTCCATGTTTTGCCGGGACTCAGAGAGAGGATTCTGAGGACCATGGGGAACTCCACCCCATACCAGCAGGGACCCCGCAGGGTTCGTCTCCATGGTCAGTCCTAGGAGTCCCCAGGCACTGGTTTCAGGCCGCAGTGCCCATCAGTTCCCACTCAGAGGGTACAGGGGAGAGAGAGTCTTAGTCTGATGGGTCAGCAGGGGGAGGAATCTTAGGCCCTCCTCTGTGTAAAAACTGGGGACCTTGGGTGAGGACCACACATCATAGGGCCTCAACCTGCCTGCTACAGCTTTCAGCCTCTGGAGTCCACGGGCAGTGCGGCCAGATAGATCCATCCTCACTTCTACTATTGGGTCTCAGTGAGTTGTGGGCCTTGCTGTGAGGAGAAGTCCTCAGGTCAAGAGAGAGGGGCGTGCCCAGATCCTCCCAGAAGTCAAAGTGGGGACTGTGACTGATGACTGAAGATACCACCCCCCCTCTGCCAAATGAAAGGAGCAACAAAGATTCTTGCCCAGTCCCTACACTCAGTCCTTGAAGGCCCAGCGCAGGGTTGTCAGGCTGAGACTCTGCATTTCTTTGTTTCAGGTCCAATGGAGTTCCTTCGTATGAAGGTGCATCACCAGTCAGCAGAGGGGAGGGTCCCAGACTCTGTGTAGACAAGATGAGGACTCTGAATGAGGACTGAGGACAAATGAGTCGAGGACAGAGAGGGCCCCCAGAAGTGTCAGCACTGTCCACCCCAGCAGGGCTGGTTGGCTGAGGCAGCTCCTCAGTTCCTTCTCGTGGGTCCCAGGGAGCTTTGAGGTGTCAACTTTAGAGCAGCAGACGAAAGAGATGCCAGGCCCTACCAAGAGTTGACGTGATAGTCCTTGGGTGAGGACCACACATCATAGGGCCTCAACCTGCCTGCTACAGCTTTCAGCCACTGGAGACCACGGGCAGTGCGGCCAGATAGAGCCATCCTCACTTCTACTATTGGGTCTCAGGGAGTGGTTGGCTGAGGCAACTCCTCAGTTCCTTCTCGTGGGTTCCAGGGAGCTTTGAGGTGTCAGCTTGAGAAGCAGAGGAGAGAGATCCCAGGCCCTACCAAGAGTTGACATGATAGTCCTGTATGTGAACTCAGGGGACCCTTGCTCCCAGATGGAGAGGGCTCACGTTACCAGCCCCCGTTGTCAACCCAGGCAGCCACAGACAAGGCTGGCAGGCTGTTGCCTGAAGCCTGCTCACTCTAACTTCATCCACTGGGTTCTCGGGACAGGCTCAGCAAGAGCCAGAGCCCTGTGGCATCCGAGAGCGGTGATGTCAAGGAAACCTGCAGAGGTGGCTCCTTCAAAGCCAAGGTGGAATCTCCCTCCTGAAGGTCTCACAGCTTGTCATCTTCCTCCTCCAGGTTCCCGCATCACCTGCTGTCCTGCCTACACTTCTGCCTGCTGTCCCTGAGCACAGTCATGCCTCGAGGTCAGAAGAGTAAGCTCCGTGCACGTGAGAAACGTCGTCAGGTCCGGGGTGAGACCCAGTGTCCTAGCGGTGCTCAGGCCACTGCAGCAGAGGTCGGAGAGTCGCCCACCTCCCCTGTGTCTGGGGGTACTCCCCCGAGCTCCCCTGCTGCTGGCTGTCCCCAGAAGCCTCAGGGAGCCCCAGCCACTAGGTCTCGTGCTGCAGGTGTTTCACGCCCAAGATCTCATGTGGGTGCCAAGAGCCAAGTTGAGGAAAGTGAAAATTCCTCCCAGGCCTCAACCTCCACTCAGAGCCCTCACGATGATCTTCTAAGCAGGAAGGTGGGGCTGTTGATGGAATTCCTGCTGGAGAAGTATAAAATGAAGGAGCCCATTAAGAGGGCAGACATGCTGAAGCTTGTCCACAAGAGGTACAGGGAGCACTTCCCTGAGATCCTCAGGAGAGCTTCTGAGCGCATAGAGCTGGTCTTTGGCCTTGACTTGAAGGAAGTCAAGCCCAATGGCCTCTGCTATACCCTCATCAGCAAGCTCGACCTCCGCGAAGATGGAAGTCTGAGCGACGACTGGGGATTTCCTAAGAGTGGGCTTCTGATGCCTCTCCTGGGTGTGATCTTCTTGAATGGCAACTGCACCTCTGAGGAGGAGATCTGGGAATTCCTGAATATTTTGGGCGTCTATGATGGGAGGAGGCATTTGATCTTTGGAGAGCCTAGGAAGCTCATCACAGAAGATTTGGTGCAGCAGAAGTACCTGGAGTATCGTCAAGTGCCCAACAGTGCTCCTCCACGCTATGAATTCCGGTGGGGCCCCAGAGCCCATGCTGAAACCAGCAAGATGAAAGTTCTAGAGTTTTTGGCCAAAGTCTATGGTACCACCCCCAGTGCCTTCCCATTCCATTATGCAGAGGCTTTGAGAGATGAGGAAGAGAGAACCCGAGCCAGAGCTGCAGCCAGTGCTGCCAGTGCTGCCACTACTGCCAAGGGCAGTGCACGTTCTAAGGCCAGGGCCAGTGCACGTTCCAGGGCCACGGCCAGTGCACGTTCCAGGGCCATGGCCAGCAGATCCTCTCTCCCCTAGTGAGGTCAGAGGCAGATCCTTCACCTTGTGTTTGACAAGGGCTGCCAACCTGTTAAGTAGTGAGAGGTTAAGGTGGGGCTGGAACAATCACAATATATATCTTCTTTGTGTTCCTGTTATACATTGGTATCTTTCAAATGTTGTTCCTTTTAACAGAATGTTTATTTAGATTCTCAATCCAAGTTTATAAGTGACATAAATCACACATTTATTGCTGTTTATCAGATTTAAGAGTAAGAGTTTTGGTATTGTGTAATACAATTTGAAAACCCTTGCATCCTTTTTGGGTTCCAGAACATGATAACATGGCTTTGTAATAGGGAGTTTCTTGGAAATGTGAAAGAACCCGCAAAAACATAGCTGTAGTTTTAAAATAGATGAAAACAAAGGAAGATGTGGTCAAATCTTGGTTTATCTTACTCACTTTTGTCTTTCTCTTTGTAAAATTCAAAAATATATGCCTGGATGTTCTTAACTCATTCAAGAATGCAGATAATATTAAATAGCAATAAATTACATTCCTTGCTAAGTGCTTCATTTATTCCCATCGTGAACTGAACATCTGCTCTTTGGAAGGTTCTGTGCTAGTAGTGATGATGCTAAGATAAAGAAGACCCTGCACCTGCCTGTAGACTTTCAGAGTCTAAGAGCAGTTATTATAAAAGGAAGATAGTGTGATGAACTCTAACATGTGAAAGACAAGTGAAAAAGCGTTGAGGATGGTGGTGGGTGGTCCAGAACTGAGCAGTGAAATATACGTTCTCGGAGCCAGGACACTTTGAGGTTGGGACTTTGCAAATCCCTCGGTGGGAGGTAATTCTAAATTAGCTGCATGGTGGGCTAGATGAGGCTGTGATCATCATGGGCAGGGGGCCAGACCCTCAGATGGTGGGCCTCAGAGTTGAGAGACTAAGCCCGGAATGAGAAATTGCCCTTAACAGTTACTTTGGGATTATGCGTAAACCGGAGAGAATCTCCGCCTGGGACAGGAACGGAGGGTGTCCTGTGGGCTTGTCCCAGTGCAGGGGAACACAGTCCACAAGCCAGGTGTGTTACACACATCATCACCAGGGAGTGTCTGAGAAATAAGGGTGATACTCCCTTGAGGTGGGATGCTAAGAAGCCACTGTGCTGGCACCCTTTGCCCTGGGCTCAGGGAACCAGAGCCTGCTCTGTCATTTTGGTTATATTGAGTGTAATTTGGCAAAACTCCGAAGTAGGGCCAGATTTTGGCGGTGGTGAAAAAAATGAAAATAGGGGTGTTTTTGATGGGAGGGGAGTTGGGAGGGAGGGGAATTATTGATCCTTGACACAAATTCTACAAGCTGTGAGTTGAATCCTGGTGAAATCCCTGCCTCCAAATTAAATAACATATTCTCTAATGGGGAAAAGTTACTCAGTGTTACTTGCTAAGCAGCACTCTGGCTGATTTGGTTTTCTTTGTCCTAGAGTACTGCATAGTCTCTGACATCTCCTGGATAAAACAAACAATCCCAGAGATGAAGGTAGTTTCTTCTGGTGTGAAAATAAGCATAATAATAACTACCATTCATGAAAGACCCAGTATGTACCAGTAACTGTGCCAGGTGCTTTACATACATCACATACGTTCCAACAGTCCTAGAAGACGGGCTTGTCAAACCCACTCAGTAGATGAAGAACTTGCGATTTTCTCAAGTTCACGTGGCTGATAAAGTGACAGAACTGGGACTAGAGCCCTGGTCTGAACCTCCCTAGAACCCACACTGTTCCGCTCCTCCCAGCCTGAGGCTGACCTGTGTCTATTAATTCATTTCTCTTCTCACTATTCCATGATGTCTCTCAGGCGGTAAGAAGAAGGACCCTGTGGCCGAAGTCGTAAAAGCAGGCCTCAAGAAGGAAGGTGAAAATGAGAATCCAACACATTTGGGGATTGTCTGAGGGCTTCATTTACCTAGGGTCCTCCTGCCCCTCGCGCCAGGGTTCCTTGAGAGCTGACTCTGCTCCGGTCCTAGCACGTGTGTCCAGGCCCAGCACTTTCCTGCATGACAGCTCCCCTCCCCTGGGTCTTCCCCAGTGTGCCCTCAGGTCCAAAGTGGAACCCGACCTGCTGGCCAGCTCTTCTCTGCATCCTCCTCTGGAGGCTGCACTCTGCTCCGCTGGAACAGGCAGCCCATATCCCTGCCCTCCGCTGACTTAGAGCATTCCGACTCCCTGCAGATCGCATCTGTCACTGTGGACCCCACTGATAGCAACAGCCCCTTCCACGTAATTGTTCAAAAAAATAGCATTCTCCCTGGGACAGATTTAGACAAGAATCAGTGGAGAGATGGTGAATTATTTTTCCTCTTTATTCAAAGCTAGCATGTCTGCCAAGGAACCATTCTCCACCTCCAAGAAAGACTCCAAGATGGGTTTTTAGGAATCCAGCCTACTGAGATTATACAGGTTATTGCAAATGACAATGCAGAAAGGTGCTATTGAGTAACAAAGGGCGAGCCCTCCCTGCTGAGATTTACAGTGTCCTTTTGAAAATTGATGTGATCCTATATTTTAAAACATCTGTTACATAGTATGCACTAGAAAAATTTGTCGAATTCCAGGGTAAATTTGGCCTTCTCAGAAGTTCCTCTGAGAAATGAAGAGGGTTGTTGTCATAACCAATTGCAACAGTTGCTCTTTATTGAGCACCTACTGTATAACAGTGTATGGGAGAGACTGAAAGTGCTCGTCCACGTTGTGTCTTGCTCTCCTTCCTGGGCTCCTGGGAAGACTACGTTCCCAGTCCAGTTGAAGTTAAGAAGGGTCATGTGACTAACCTGTGCCACTGATATATTAGTAGAAGCGTGTTTGTCACCTCCAGGCCAAGGCACATGAGAGTCAGTATGCCACCTCCATGCTTTCTCTTCCATTCAGCACCAAACACAGAAAGCCCCTGTGGAGATGTGGAGCCACATGATGCAAACAGCCTGGCTCTCTGGTCACCTGACAGCAGCGAGCTTCTGTCAACCCATATCAGATGTTGTGTGCACAAGAAATAAATTTTTGTTGTCTTAAGCCATTTAGATTTCAGGTTTTCTTTGTTGCATCAGTCAGCAGTTACTTTAGCTGAGTAATATACTACTACTATTTCTATTGTTAGGCTCATTTAAATATTTTAATGACAAAGCTAATTGTAGTATATATATTCTTGTTATAAAGACGTCTAACACATAAATCACAATCTCCCCCCTTATAACATTCCTCCAAAATTCATCCTCCCTTTTCAAAAGTAACCACAATTAACAATCTGGTGTGTGTCATTTTAAAGCGGATTTGAGGCTTTTTCAAATGTAGATGTGCTCCAAAAATTGATCAAGTTTTTAACATACATGGGCAACCACGTACGTATTGTTCTGTGACTTACTCTTGCAACGCAATGAAGTGAATGCAGAATCTTTCTGAGACAGCACATATAAGACCCACCTCACTTTTTAAAACTGCCATCACCATTAGAAAAAGTTCCAGTCAGCCCTCTTGTCCTAGCCAACCTACAGCATGAAGCAGAGCCACCTCAGCCAAGCTGTAGATCCGCGAGAACAAATGGTTGTTGTGTCAAGATGCTGAGTTTTGTGGCTGTTCATTAGCACAAATTTACTAATAAGTACATTAAGGGCTAGCAGTGATTACAAGCAATTCATATTTTAATTTTTTGTGTTCTTTGTTTTCTACAGGGAGCACATATTATTCTTAACAATATTTTAAAAGCTTAAGAAAAATAAACTTTAAAAGACATGGGAGGGGCCGGCCCGCTGGCTTAGCGGTTGAATGCGTGTGCTCCACTGCTGGCGGCCTGTGTTCGGATCCCAGGTGCACACCGACACACCGCTTGTCTGGCCATGCTGAGGCCGAGTCCCACATACAGCAACTAGAAGGATGTGCAACTATGACACAACTATCTACTGGGGCTTTGGGGAGAAAAAGGGGTAAAAAAGGAGGAAGATTGGCAATAGATGTTAGCTCAGGGCTGGTCTCTCTCAGCAAAAAAAAAGAGGAGGATTGGCATGGATGTTAGCTCAGGGCTGATCTTCCTCACAAAAAAAAAAGACGGGAAATTCCAATTATAGATATTAGAGAAGCCTTTAAAATAGGAAAAAAACAAGCAAATAATTTACAAAAGTTAAATGACATATGATTATTTCACCTATAAAATACAAAAAATAAAGATTACTCACATACTATTCTCCCTCAAGATGGCAAATTAACAAAGAGAAAATTTATATCAAAGGATAAATTCCTGATAGTTCATGGCTCTCCACATAGTTCATGGAGGACATTTATCTCACACCTAGAATGTGAGAGCATGAGATTCTGGAACCAGACACCTGGTGTTTGAATTCCAGCTCTACCATTTACTAGCTGTGTGATCGTGGGTAAATTACTTAACCTCTCTGTGCCTCTTTTCTCATCTGTAAAATTGGGGTGATGATAGTACCTAACTATAAGATTATTTTGAAAATTAAATATAAGGCGTTCTGAACAGAGCTCATGAATTCATAAGCATTATGAATGTGTTTATTATTTTATTATCAAAGCATTTTGCTGAGTTTTCATTTTGCATGTGGAGGAAATAATTGACCTTTAATACAGCAAGAAATGGACCCTATAGACAACCTTAAAAACTAAAATGTAGAAATAATAACCTTCTGAGAGGGAGTCTGACACATCTGTAGTTCCTAAAATACTATAGGAGGATTTCCATTAACATTGTCAATAAAAAAGTATTAATGTTTAAATACTAGCCATGGTTATCAGAAAAATTTATTAGCCTTAATACTTCATTCCCCATTTGTATAGGATAAATGAAGCTCTTCAATAGAGAGACACTTCATTTTTTTGTCATTAGTACATAGCTAAGCAATGAAAACTGGGGAACTCAGTTTTGACCACATCTTGGACTAAGTAAGATTTAAGGATAGTCTGGTATCTAAGGATAACTCTTAATGTACTCTTTATAAATCTGAGGAGATTTTGATGATCTC